CTGCTCAAGTAGCGGTGGGTGCGGGTGTGTGTGGTTCCGGAAGTGGTGAAAAAAAATGAAAAAATAAGTCATAGTACGCCGGCTGAAAATCTTTTCATAAATATTTTACATCATACAGAGCTAAAAAAAAATCGTCAGCTGCATAGTGGAGGGGGGATTATGCGTCAGCCGCTCGCTTGAACTTGTAAAAAAACACGTAAAATAAAGTTATAGTACGCCGGATGAAATTTAACTAAGTGATTGTTTAAATTATCAAAAGTACGAAAACAACAATCAGCTGCGTGGGTAGCGGTGGAAAGACCGTCAGCTGACGCAGTAAAAGTTAAAAATATTGGAGCATTGCTACTACGCTGTCTCCTTTTAAACACAAATACCTAAAATTGCAAATCTCTTTTTTACTTTTAATCAACAAAATTGTTCACGGTATACCGTGATATATCACGACAAATTGATGAAAGTACACGAAACTCACCCAGGGTTACAGTTGCAACTCGAAAGGGGATCGTTTGGAGTTAAGAGAACTGACAAATCATTTTCGAGACAGCCTATTGATCTAACGCTAGAACAAACCATAAATGCAGATGCTGCAAATAAATTGACGGAATACTACCTATTCAATTTCAGCTCGTCAACGTTGGTGTAAGAGCCATAGCAGTTTTTAGTTTTACTAAAAATATTAGAAAAAGAAACAGATAACAATGCACCGCAAAGATGTGACGTACTAATTTATGATGGTTTTTTTATGCTCCATGCATTAAAAGACGTTCAGTCTACATTTGGTAATATTTCGAAAACACTTATTCAAATGTTCACTAAAAATAATGCGCGGATTATTATAATAACATTCGATCGTTACTTTTCGCCATCGAATAAAGATAACGAGCATTTGTTAAGAGGCAGGATAAGTGGTCAACAGTATCCTGTAAATGGCCCTGATCAGGTTCGCCCTGCTAATTTTGCTAGTGAATTGAAGAATGTTTACTTCAAAGCTGCCTTAGTCGAAATTCTTTGTGACGACTGGAAAAATAATTATATGGCTAAAAATAATTATAGGCGAAAAAACGATCTATAAAAACTACGAGTTTTGTTATAAATATGAATCACAAAGTAATGAAGTTCTAAGAACCGTTGATCATAATTTATCTTGTCCAGCTCACGAAGAAGCTGATACAAAAATTGTATTCCACGTTTGTAAGGTAGATTTCGATGCTCACGTTACCATAAGATCCTCAGATACGTATATTTTTATCATAATGCTTGGCAATATGAATGCTATTCAAAACGATTTGAAAATTACCATGCACATTGGTTCCGCAAATTCCCAAAGATTCGTAAATCTTACGAAATTACACAAAAATTAGGGAACTAATTTGTGCTCTGCGTTGCCAGGGTTTCATGCTCTCACAGGCTGCGATTTCAATCCTGCATTTTACAGGAAAGGAAAAAATAAGCCTCTACAATTGTTGCGAAAATCTCAGGCATATATGCAAGCATTGGGTAATATTGCAAATATCCCGAATTGTACAATAGACCACATCTTCGCAACGATTGAAGAATTTGTTTGTCATCTGTACGGATTCAAAGGGATAAACGATGTCAACCGCTACACGAGTCGCCACGTTTAGTAAAAACTACGAAACTAATAATAAGAACGATATGCTGAAGTTGAAAAACCGTATCGATGGAGCTACGCCAGCATTTACTGCGAACTTCATACATCGCGCACCTTTGGAGCCATGCTCACCTTCAAGAGCCTTCTCAATTATCTCCCATTGACTGGGGATGGGAAGAAAAAGAAGACAATATAATATGTTTTCAAATGGTTCGAGGGATATCAAGTACCCCCATCAGTCGGCAGTACAACGGATAGCAAGCAAAATATTGCTGGTATGGATTTTTTGTTTTGACACTTTCTTTGAGCATGTATATTCTGGTATGCGAATTTTAATGATTAACCTGTTCATTTACGGTGATGAAGAAGAGGCTCGAGATCAGGAACACGAAAAAGATGAAGAGAACAATCTGACAGACGAAAGTTCTGATAACGATTCATCTGGGGACGATGACGATAGCGATACTATCTATTACGAATAATTCTATATCGATTTCTATCTTTCTATCTCTTCTTTTTTTAATTCCCTTTACATTAGTTGATGATATTTCCATTTTACTCTCCATATTATTTTATATTATGCATTTCTTTCATCTATGTGAAATAAAACAAGAAAAACAGCAAAATATTTTCGTACGATATTGTTACACATGCTATAAACTTCTCGATATTATGATTAAATTTTCAATATGCCGGTTGAAATTAGACAAGACTGTAGTTTAATAGTTACGTTTGCAAAAACAATCAGTCAGTTGGGGGCGGACAGGGGAGTTCTGTCAGCTGAACCCTGAAAGAAACTGTGCATTACTCGAATAATCTATATCCTTAGTGCGTCAGCTGACGGTCTTTCCACCGCTACCCACGCAGCTGATTGTTGTTTTCGTACTTTTGATAATTTAAACAATCACTTAGTTAAATTTCATCCGGCGTACTATAACTTTGTTTTACGTGTTTTTTTACAAGTTCAAGCGAGCGGCTGACGCATATTCCCCCTTCCACTATGCAGCTGACGATTTTTTTTTAGCTCTGTATGATGTAAAATATTTATGAAATGAATTTCAGCCGGCGTACTATGACTTAATTTTTCATTTTTTTTCACCACTTCCGGAACCTTTCAATCCTACACCCACCGCGGGTGCGTCAGCTGACGCTCGGTTCACTTATCAGTCATTCGACATCTATTGAACAAGATTGCAACCGACCGGCGTAAAAACACTCCCTAAAATGCAACGGTACCTCCCGGACTATTATATTTGTACACTGTGAATGTAAGTAAATTGGTTGGTGTACTATCGATTGGATGATTCTGCCATTTCATTGAGAAGTACGTACTTTTTGTCTTGTTCAATTTGCATTCAATGTTTTTTATTTTACGTATAGTCCAGTCAATGAAAGCTTAATTTTCCCATTTTGAGTTGATGACTTGCAACCAACGCGAAATTTTTTATTAGGGGTAATTGGATACGCGAAAATACATTCATATCTTTTTTGTAGGCAATTTAATTTTCTACAACTTTGTATTAGGATTTTTTCTATTTTCCCAGCCAGTTGCAAATATTGACGAAACTAGTACTGACTGGACTAGACTAGTACGAAGTTTCAATTTAGAAACATCACAAAAATCAATGTCGATTTCACTCCAGGTTTGAATCCACTGTTGTTTTAGCGGTATAGTAAATCGATACTCTCGAACACTTCGCCACTAAAATGTTATATATATCTTCTGTGTGAAATTTAGCTTCACTAGATACCGATTATAGTTTTTGCATCAACAACATCGGTTAAAGTCACTCATCGTTATGAATTTATTATTCCGAATGCCAGAGCTTTGCTTCACTTTTGTTAGTCATTTTTTAGATAAATGTTTACTATTTATATTAATCTTACACATATATTGATTGTACTTAAGAATTATTTCATGTATTATTCATTTTATTATATTGTTTGAATTTTTGTTGCTACTAGAGATCACTTTTAATCACTGATCTGTTACTTTGTCGCTGTTACACTTGTATTATAACCATTACACACACACTTAAACATATTTAACATCTAGAAAAGCAGATATAGATTTAAAATTAAAAGCTGATACGGAGCTTGTTTTGATACCTTAAAATAATAAAAAAATCTCAAAATGTCTGTTTGTATGTCTAAGCACTTACGACAGCTGAAGTACGAAGATTATGAAATTAAGTGAGCAAATTGTGTCCTTAAGTTATGTTTAGTCATTACTAAATTAAAATCGGTTAACTTTATAAAAAGTAATTGCAATTTGAATTTCATCTTCAGTAATGAAAGAAAGTAAAGCAGCGATGTTAATGTATTTTAGTCTAATCCCAATAATGAGTATTACATATAGGAAAAATATGAACATAATCTAATTTAAATATTTAAAACACAATAGGTAGAAAAGAACATTAAATTCGTTTAGTGGCAATGCAGTTTGGGCTAGTGTGTTTTTTTCCATTTTTTTTATGTTTTAGTTCACTTTCATTTTAATTCCATCTTTTTCTTTACCTTGTTTTCTCTTCATTGTAGTTTTAGTCCTTAATAGCTGTTTTGATGTATGCCAGACACATCAAAACAATGTTGTAGTAAATTTAATGATGCCATTGTAGCTATCTGTTAATAAAAAAAGAGTGACCGTGAGTTTGTTTGCTCTTTCTTCTCTTGAGGCTCAACCCCTCGAAATCAGGGGGTTTTAGATCGGCACAGACATTTAATAGATTTTCGGTAGGTATAATTTTATTATATTTATTTTGCTAAGTATTTGACAAAACAGAGATTGTTGCTATTTTGTGTGTTTATCTATGACTTAAGAGTCTACACAAAGATATTAAAAATAAAGATATTTTGAGTTTGTTTGATTTTCACTGAAAGAAAATTTTGCTTGAAATCTCGCTTTGATCAGAAATTGCATTCTAAGGAGCTGGAATCGTAATTTCCTTACGAAAATGAAGCTAGAGAAAATTATGAAAGGATGGGTCACGATCCGGTAAATAATTGTTTTACGTCCGTTAATCATTAATATAACATTTCATTGAAATACACAAGCACGTCCTATTTTAGTCTCATTAGTCGGCAGCGAAAAGTTTTAAAGTAAAATTGAAGCAATAAAATTTTGTAAAAGCACTCATAAAGGTTGGTACGGACACTGTGTTTTGCGATTTAAAGTTTAATAGAATAAAAGTATATATAGAGATATAGAATTAAAACAAAATGAGTGTTTGATATTAAATGTTGGGGTGATTTTTATTCTGTATAAGTCGCGGGCTCAAGTTAGTAGTTAATGCAGTTCGGGTGATGAAGGCCAGTGCTTAAGTTCAAGTCGCAATCGCATTCCAATAACAGCATTTATTGTTTGCAGTCGCTCGTCTCATAATTCAATATGATTGTTATATTTATATCCGTGATTTTAGTTTTAATAATACTAGTGAATTGGTTTAATTTAATTAATGAAAGTAACAAGATCAGTGCACGAGGACCTTTTCCTTTGCCGATTTTGGGAAATGCTCATTTGTTTATGGTCGATGCTTCAGGTACTTTAGTTTAATATGAAATTAAGTGATAGATTCAGTTTTGCACACGCTACAGTTATGTAACCTTTGAATCTGTGATTCTTTCTGGACTGATTTAATTGCGTTCAGCTGTGTAGCTTTGTTACGTAATTATGGTTTTTAAAGTGTATCTGTCGGTACATCTTGTATTTTTAATATTTTGTCAACTATTAGTTTTACTGTTAATCATTTAAAGTATCGATCAGGCGCCGACTTCAAACAGTCTAGAAGGGACTATTACTATTATAATGGTACCTGCTTTATTGAGGGTACTTATTACAGTTTTTTACTTAGATTTGTTATTATTTTTAAATGTTTAGTGCTCCATGTCAGTATTGTTTGAAGTCGATTCGACTTTTTTTTAAAAGAATTCGTTTACCATTTTTTGTGTAAGATATGTTTGTAATGAGTAGAAAAGTACGAATTAATAACCTTCTTTTTTGTGTTTTTTAAGCCCATTAAAAACCTAATACAAGAAGCTCAGTTTCTTTTAGATGGCTACAACAATTCTTATAACCTTAATTTTACATGTAATAAATTAGTTACCTTTGAAATAATATTATGTATTTTAATATCTGAAATGGTATTTGCTCCTTTATAGTTGCTTATCCAGATTATAGTTTAAGTAATATGATAACTGGACGATATACCTTAAACATAAGGTAATATGTATTGACAACTGTCAAATTAATTACTTTAAATCCATACTTATATTATAAATGTGAATGTGTGTGAGAAACTAAACCGATTTTAAGAACTCTTTCACCAATGTAAATCTACATTACAGAGTAATATAGGCTACATTTTACCGCGAAAACCGACATACACGTTGGAGCCACAAAAAGCTAGCTAATAATAAAGGCTATTGCAATATTGGTTAAGTAGAGGGGGCAATACAGCAGACATTGGAGGCGAGTGCTGTCGCGCTGCAAGAAGTACTCCCTAAACCTATTCCTGGGTCGCATTTCCCAGGCGCTGTTGAAGTCGCATATGTTGCTTCCATCTATCACGCGATTGACCCGGCACCCCCACGCATGCATGCACCGTCTGGGTGCCGGGTCCGGAACGCTAAGAAAGAGGTCTTTTTGATGCCACGACCTCACAAAAAATCAGTGTTAAGCAATTCCTCTGTACCTTTTTATTAAACGAGTGGGGTTAACTAAGTATAAACCCCTCGTACCCCTTATTTTGGGCGTCACAGTCACACGTGCGTTGTTACCCTTTGACCAAAGATATTTCATTAATGTTTATTATTTCATATCATTTGAATAGATTATTTGGCTAATTTATTTTCAAATAGTAAAAATAATGTGATGTCAGTATTGTAAATTTGAGTCGTTGTTCTTCCACGTCTACGATCTCAGTTTTAATTATTTGTTTTTCAGAATTTTTAAATTTAATCCTCAATTTTTCAATCAAGTATGGTGATGCTGTTAGAGTTCACTTTTTCTCGAGGCCCCATGTGATAGTAAGCCATCCCAAATATGCCGAGGCAAGTGTTATATCCATTTTTATAATCATTTTCTAGTTTTGTAAAATAAATCTAAAACGCAAGACATAATAATCAAGAAATTATTTAGCCGAATCGAATCAGATTCACGTTTATTGGCGTCTTTTTTTTTGCTTGTTTTTATCAAAGCCATCGCTGGAACTTTCAAAGATAAAGTTTTTGATATGGAAGAATTATTTTTTTCTTTTTATCGTTTGTATGTTTAGAATTTGAGAAAGGCTCGAGCAACAATTTTCAATGTTTTCAATTAAATTAATAAAATATGTATTGCAATATTACAGCCTATACTCTTAAGTACAGAGCTCATTACGAAAGGACAGTCATACCGTTTTCTCGACTCTTGGCTTGGACAAGGACTGGTCACCTCCACTGGTAAGCCTTTACAGGTTTTTAATATTGCAAATACGAGTATTATTTGAAGTGATATTATTTTGTTCAATTTAATCGTTCTTGGCAAAAAAAAACAAAATTAACAGAAATAATGTTGTCGAGTCTTCATTTCCCGTTAATAATAAACATTTACGTACTCGTACAATTTGATTTTGATTATGTTTAAACAGATTTTTTAAATAAATTTATCACACATTTAATATTCATTATACGTAAACTTTATTCTAGGTAACAGATGGAGAACTCATCGCAAATTGTTAACCCCAGCTTTTCATTTCAATATTCTTCAAAACTTCCTGCCTGTGTTTTGCAAAAACCAAAGAATATTAACGGAGAAGCTGCGCGAGAGGGCCAAAAAAGGAAAGCCAATTGATTTGTTACCTCTTGTTGCTTTAGCTGCTCTGGATAATGTCATAGGTGAGAAATAAAAGTCAAGCCAACTCATTATATACATGTGATATATATAGGTACTATATATACTCATTATATTTACAGGTATATATCTCGAAAAGAATTTGTGAGAACTATACATTTTTTTTTATGCTTTTTATTGCAAATTAGTTTGGGATTTTTTATTTTATGGCCGAGCGCAGGGTTGGCTTTGACCTTGGGAATATCGCTGTTAACCACATGCTCCGATCAAGTAACCATGATGTTTTTTTTTCTCATTAGATCCTGATTTAAAAATGATCTAATGAGTTTGAGAATGTGAAACTTTTTGGTCAATAAATGAAAAAAAAAAACACTGGATTCAGATGTAGGCTATTTTTTATCCCGGAAGAGTTATCCACGCAACCTTATAGTAGTTTGCGTGGATAACTCTTCCGGGATAAATCAGTTAGTTAATTATATGTTTTCGTTTTGCTAATACATTTAATATAAGCATTTGACTATATTTTTGTTGATGTTAATGTTGATTTTACAACTCATAACTCTCGGTACTGCATGTATTTTCTACCCTGCACCAGCACCTGTTTAGATGGTAATTTTTAAATAGCTGCAGTAGTGGTCCTCGTCTACCAGTCTGCTCCAACCTCTCATACAGAACATTATATACGAGCCTATCGAAAGCCTTGCTAAAGTCAACAAAAAAATTGAGCACGTGACGTTTTTCATTCAGGTGCTCGTTAATATCGTTGGTGATTTGACATGGTAATTGAGATGCCTTTCTGAAAGCCGTATTGTTTACAATACGTAAATTACAATTATATTATGCGAATGTAAGAAATGGCTAAGTTTACCTCCTTTGTACCTCTCAATCACTAATCTTATCTTGTCAATGCAGTATAGTATGGTGATGGGACAGTCCTTTTTTGTATATGGGCGCACCACGCCTAGTTTAAGGTTGTTTGGGTAACTGGATGAACCGATGCATCTATAATTCAAATGAGTAATTACGGGAGGTATTTCTTTGTTAATATGTTTTATATCAATTGCTCTAATTTCATCTAGACCTGGGCTTTTATTAATGTTCAATTTGTTGGTAATTTTATAGGTTTCCTCGTTACTTATTTTTTGCATTCGCATTGTCACGTCCAACCCTGTTTCGGTATCGTCTGTTAGCTCAGTTAACATTTTTTACCACACGAATTCATATTTATATCTGTGTTTTTTTTAAACTTCATTGCAAACAAGTTCGCTGCTTCACTATCAGCTAAGGATTTTTTAAAATTGTTTCATCGACTGAGTTAATGAGTTTGCCATATAACACATTTATAAATTGTCAAAATTTTAACGAGTTGTTGAAGTTTTTGACAATTTCGTTCTTAAAGAACTTGTTTTTTGTATAGTTAATTTATTTTTTGTTTTATTTCTAAATTTATTGTAGATTATTTTATTTTCTATACTGGATATTTTGTATTACCCTTTTGTATATTTTTGATAAGTCATTACGCAGTTTACACGTGTATATAACTCTTTCATTGACCCAGTTATAAGCGTTCGATTTGCACTTATTTAACCTAGTTTTACGTTGTTTACATAGCTCACACGAGTTCGCAACTATGTTGCATATATGGTCAGAAATGTCATAAGTCGAATTACAACAAAGTCATGCATTCCAATCGCTCGGCGCAGCTCAGCCTCCAGCCATTTCCTGTCGTATTTATAAATAATGCGTTTGTTTACATCAGGAAAGTAAGAAATGGAGCATTCCGTTATACAGTGATCGGCTAGTGACTCATTTATAATAGCGGAATAGATTATAGCAGTTGTCGCTGAGCTGCCCCTTTTTTATTTGTTTCTGTGCTCAAATCCCCCGGATACCACCCACCGGTAGCTATGTCGGACTCAAACTTACTAAAAACCACACGCCGTCTCGGGTACCAGTAGTCGGGGAACCAGGTGTTCCCTAGAAAGGAAATTCGTTACCTTTTCTTTCAACTCGTGTATTAATACAGCTCCTTAAATCCAGCTCGTATAATGTGTTGATGTAATCATGTTTTATATTACAGTTTTTCATAATGTCCAGATTCATATCATCAACGAGTAAAATATTTCATTTTTCGGCTTTGTTTTGAATTAAGTACCTAATTTCTCTTGTGAAACTGGCAACTGAGAGATCAGGGGGCCTGTAAAGACAAATGTTAGTAATTCTGCTCGCCCCATGATTATTTCGCTAAAGAATGAGCATATTGGTGACCTTGTCAATTTTTATCCTTTGTGTATATAAAGCACAACACCTCAACCTTTTTTACTGTCTCTTAGGTTAGTATACATATTATAATTGGTATTGGTATTTCAAACAAAAGTAAGCAGGTATCCCCAATGTTTACTTCTGTCAGCAAAGGCATCAGAACAACATCGACCAGGCGAGTAGGTACTTGTGGCTCAATATAAGTTTAATCTGTGCTGTGTGTTTAAAGTTCAACGTGATTGTATATATTTGATAAAACTTACCGTTTTCGAGAAAAATCCCAAAAAACGAAAATTATGACCTTTAATAACTTTTTGTGCTATGTACTATCCATAGAGGATTAGACATGGTTAGGTAGGTGTAATATTACATTAATGGCGATTTGGAACACAATTAGATAAACGGAACAGACTCACGGTTTGTTGTTAATTATCTCTAGTGTCCATTTCCTAATGTCCTCTTCTGATCGAATAACATGTATTTTGCCCGATTCGGTTTTCCTTATGAGAATGTTGCCGCGTTTACACCACACAAAGTTAACTAGATTTGTAAGCTTCAATTCCGAATTTGCACGCCAGAGGTGAGCAGTAGTATTAGAAAGTGCCTCCCTTAGAAATAATTTCGAGTTTCATTCTCTTCCGATATCTCGTTCCGTAATGATCTTCGTTTTTGCTGCTTCCAACCATCCCTTCCCCTTTCCTCTGAACAATGGTTTATTACAAGGGTTCCTGCATTCCTGTGCTGGCCGTCCGTAGATTCACTTTGTTTTCTGTACACTTTGATAACGCTGTTAGCTTCCATTTTTAATTTGTCACAGATTTTTTGTGTTATTTGCGAACGACTTTCATTTTCCTTTTAGACGATCCAGTATTTAGAACCGAGTATTCATGTGTTTTGTTCTATTGCGGTTAGTTTTTGTTCCATAAATTCTGTTTTTTTTTAATGTGGTATATTTGTTATTTAAATCTTACTACGTGTACTACGTGTAATCTACTATAGCCAAACCTCTATACCTAATTTTGTCAAATTCCATATTTGTTTTGGCATTATTAAGTAACATAGAACCATCTATCCATCTAAATCTTCACAACTACAATATCAGTATAATAATATATACATTTAAAACTGCCATATAATTTATTTTCTTTTCGTAGAGTCTATAATGGGAGTAAGTATGGAGGTACAAAAAAATGAGGAATCCAATTACGTGAAGTCGACAGATATGTAAGTAGTTATTAATGTACCTAGTAATTAAATCATATTGTATCTTTTAGAATAAATATCTATCTATCTATATATATATCTATATCTATACAAATAAATAAAATTGGAGTGTCTGTTTGTAATATTAAAATAACCGCTTTATACTAAATGCATAAATATGTTTACACGGTACATATGCCAAAATAACATTTTTTACAATTTTTTTCTGTCTGTCTGTCTGTATATATATATATATATATATACTAGCTGAGACCCTCGGTGTTACCCGCGTTTGTTGATAACCGCGGGCAACGCCGCGGGGCGAAGCTAATCTAAAAAAAGTAGCCTAAGTTACTCCTTATGTCATCAGCTATCTGCCAGTGAAAGTCCCGTCGAAATCGGTCTATATATATATATATATATATATATATATATATATATATATATAAATATAGTAGTGTGACGCCTGATGCGCCATTGCGGCGGTAGTAGTATTGACTATTTTCATATAGCTAATTGATACTCGAAAGATAACATTATTCAGCAGTAAAGTGCACAATAGCCTAACACATGTTTGCATGGTAGCGCTCTGTGACTATTTTCATTAATGATTCAACTTTTCCTACGTAATATAAATAAAGAATAGAAATACATCTTACACATCTCACACACAGCCATCTAATCCTAAACTAGGCAGAGCCTGTACTATAGTAACCAGTCGCAGTAATACAATATGCATAGATAAATTTCACCCACACACAGAAAAAAATATATTATGAAATTAGGGCCTGATGAAGAACGCAGTTCTTCTCGATACGGCACGTATTGTAAGGAGGTTTCTGTCTCTGGAGTCCTAACCACCGGGATCTTAGTCCCTGTACCCGTTACCGATGGGACACTGTTGTTTACATTTTTAAATGTATTTTCTTTAATTTTGTTTATAAATATACTTAAAAATATAATTTATATGTATATTTAATTAAATAAAGAGAATAATAATAATAATCTTTCGGACATCTGACATTCAAAGCCATCATCATCATTTTCAAACTAAGCAGAGCCTGTACAATAAAAGCTAGATTGACTGATAGAATACTTATCATGCTCATTAATCAATTATTTGTCCTGGTAGGACTCCAAGCAAAGACCTCTGACTTGGCAGATAGGATCAACAACCGCTAGATTAACAAGCCAATATAATATTATTATGTGGTTAGTGTGTTTCTATCATACTTTATATGATGGCAGTAAAATAAATGCATTTAATTTAATGATTTGATTTAATGAGATTTAATTTAATGAAATCAATTTTTATTATAGGATGGCAAATATTGTGTCATCACGGATGCAAATTCCTTTCCTTGGTCTTGAAATGTTATTTAACATCCTTCCTTTAAAAAAACAACAAGATAAAGCACTAGAGGTATTGCACGGTCAAACAAGGAAAGTCATTCAAATGAGAAGAGATGAGCTGAATAAAGCTAACATTACCAGTCTAGCTACACACAGTGATATCGGTAAGCCTTATTTATATGATTTTTTGATTAATATGGGCAAACGAGGAGACCCGTCACTTAATAGTAATTAACTACCGCCGCGAATAACACCCGTAACTCAAGAGATGCAAGTGCCTTGCCTCCTCTTTGAATGCCCCTCTCCAAAAACTCGGGAGAGAGAGAGAGAGTTAGGTCTCTGGTAAACTCATTCACTTGAGACCTATTTCTTAGCGTTAAATGGATTCATCGTGCGGGTGCCGGATAGAGCAAAAGAAGAGTTTACTGAAGCTCTTTTCAACACAAGGTCTTTAAGCTGGTTATACGGCATACGACGCAACGACATAACCATTTTTAGTTATTTTGTCGGTAAAGTCAAAGTACTTGTTTCTTTTTAAAGCGTGGTTGTTAGGGATGTTCGTTTCCCACAGTATCGTGAGTTCTACTAGTGCTACACGCTTAATTGAAATTGCATAAAGAAATATGTCTGGTCTGGACACCGAGGCACAGATATCCTCCGGTAGTCTGTAATGATTTTCATATGTGTCCACTACACTAGCGGTATTTATAATTGAGTACGGCTTTTGTGAAGTCTTTTTTGTTGAGCCTTTCTTCACAAACACGATGTTAGTTCTTTGCATTTGCTGTGTTTTGTCCTCATTCCCCCCATCCAGGGACAGAAGTCATCTACCTTACGCAGTAGTTCTTGGCACTGCTTCGTAGCCTGCGAATGCTAAGATGGATTCCGTATATTTTCCATTGACCTTAAATAGGTAGCCCCACCTCTTTTCGTGTGTTGCGATATTATCTAAAAATATATTTAAATACTACTTGTGATACCTTGGAACGACCCTACATTGTATTTGAAGAGTTTTGTATGTCCCTCCTTTGCTATGATTACAAATTTTAATTTACTATAGTATGATGCAATTATTTTATAAACTATTGGCGTAAAGTTATACTATTTCAAGGCAAATAATATGAGCTCGTGTCGTACTGAGCTAACAGCGTTTTCTAAATCTATCCAACAGACTGTAATTTGCCTTTCATTTTTTCTAACATCTTTGAGACTTTCCGCAAGTATTGAGTTATGTTCCAGACATCCAGAGATTCCGGGCATGAACCCTTTCTGGTAATTTGATCTGAAGTAATTATTGTTTTTTTAAGTTTTTAAGTTTTTAATTGTAGACAGGAAAAAATATTTTAGAAATTGTATTGGTAAGAGCTATCGGCCCAGTGTCTCTTGGATCTACTACTGCACTTTTTTTAGGAATGAGAACAAAATTAGCCTTTCCAAAGGTTGTTGGTGTTTCTTTTGAATTTTTTTGTCGAATAGTAACAAAATAAGTACGTAACAGCAATATTCTGTGAGACAGTAGTTCCACTTTAGTTTAGCCAGCCCGTATGTAGAGAAGCGTGACTCTAACACGTTTAATTTACGATTTAATACTGATAAGGCCATGAAAGATTTCAGCTTAAATGACATTCAGTCAACCGATCGTTCGTGATCTCTTTGTTACAAAACACTTATTGATTTTATCTTTAAAGGAATGAAGAATAAACACGCATTCTTGGACCTATTGCTGCTTTCTGAAATTAACGGTGAAAAAATTGACGAAGAGGGTGTTCGAGAAGAAGTCGATACTTTTATGTTTGAGGTGAGGTTTTATTACTGGGTAAAATAAAATAAAAAAGTGTTATTTATGTTATCCCAAAACTATTTTCTATTTTTGACACAGGTAATTGCCTCTTGTCTTAATAAAAATCAATTCTAAATTTGACAGAACACCATAATAGCATGTAAATGCACTGTAATGCATGTAAATGCACAAGGTACTGCCTCAACTTCGCAGTGGTAGCGTATGCAACTACCGTTCTGAGGTCTCGGGTTCGATTCCCGGGTCGGACCAAAGATTTGTATGCTCTGCTAATATTTGTTTCGGAGTTTGGGTGTTTTCTATGTATACTATGTATGTATGTGGTCCACTCCACAGATTCCACAGATTGAATATTTTATAATTGTTTTCATAGTAAGAACAAGTTACAATTTGTTAATCTCCTCATTAACTCCATATGATTTTGAGGACCAAGTGTTATGTCCTACCACAACTAGGTCCTTCTTTAACCAGGCAAAGTGATCCAGGTTGGCGGACCGCAGCATAATCATTGATGTAGGGAAATAGTATATAAATGCTAATTCGCGCTTGAACTTTCATTGTGTAATCCAGGCTTAGTAGTTGCTAAGTTCAACGACGTTACTCCATTAGATGTAATTGAAGACTGTTTGTGATTTCAATGCGTGTAGAAGTACTCAAAACAAATTTCACTAATGCCTAATTATTACTTAGGGTCACGACACAACGACTTCAGGAATAGTTTACACGCTCTTTGCATTATCAAAACACAGAGATGTTCAGGAAAAGATTTATGAAGAGCTTAAGACTATTTATGGTGGTAATATGGACAAAGACCCCAGTTACCAGTGAGTACAATTCTTTGTCTGAATTTTTTTAACCATCCATCTTAAATGACAGAAACTAGATATCTGTGGAGACAATGCTTCTTACAGTCGGTGGTTCCAAAATTTTGGTCCGAATAATAGAATGAACTAACACGAAAGCACATGGCGAGAGCTGTTTCGTTGGTTTACACGTTTTTTATTGAAAGATTATCGGATGAAGAACAACGGCTTCTTATGAAATTAGTATCGAAGGCACTCGTGCTTCATATTATAATCTTTTTTTATGGGACAAGGGGGCCAACCGCCCTTGGACAACTGCAACCCGCCAATTTAAGGAAGAGGAAGATTAAAATCTCAGTAACCTCACTCGATGAAAAGCTAAGACAGAATTGCTTAAAGCTGGGTTTCTGTGAGGCTGTAGTATCACTCAGGTCGGCCGGTTTTTTTTTTTTTTTTTTTTTTTTTTTTTTTCAATTTGTTTCGAAGCATGACACTCCCATCGTAAATCAACCAATTATTTTGCTTGAAGATTTGACATTTGCTTGATTTACCCCAGGTATATTTACCTGGGGTAAATTAAAGAGGATATTTACAAGTGCTGGTTAAACTAAGAATAGTAGATTTTATATACTCTGTGTCTTTGCTCTTCTTTTGTATGAATGCTACTAGGTCAATTGAATATATCTATATTTTAGAGAACTTCAGCAGATGAAATATTTGGATTTAGTTCTTAAAGAGTCGATGCGGTTATATCCACCAGTACCATTCATCGAAAGATTAATGGAGAATGATTGCGGTGAGTACAATTGATGTTAACATTTGAATTTGACCTATGTACATTTTTCAGTTTGTTCAATGGTCAAATTATCTATTCGTATAGTTACGAGCGATTCTACTTGCTTTTGAAAACTATATATTTCTTTATTAAAAAATGAATGTAATTGTCTTTCATAAACATTAAGAATACTAATTCAGAAAGTACACAATAAATGAGTTATGTATACACTTGAAATTACTAAAGCTCCTAAGAAAGAAGACACCTTGCTGCTTGTTGTTGTGGGTTCGAACCCCACATGGGACAACACTTTGTGTAATTCGCAAATTGTTGTTCTGAGTGTGGGTGTTCTCTGTGTCCGTTTCATGTATGTTTGTGAAATTCCCCGCGACACAGGATGTATTCCTAATTCAGGAGTGGTTTTTAAAAGTCTTAAAGTATTTCAAAAGGAGATTTAGCACTTGGAGTGCCGGAGTGCATACTTCAATGAGTGCTTTCAGGTTACAATATATACCTAAGTTATATATATATATATATATATGCTTGTATTTTAATTTCAGAGGTGGGAGAATTAAAACTCGTAAAAGGCACATCAGTGTTGATAAACATACATCAAATTCAGCGACACCCGGAGTTGTACGAAAATCCTTTGAAATTTCGCCCGGAAAGATTTAAGGTTCCATTGCCTAATCCTTTTAACTGGATTGCCTTTAGTGCTGGCCCCAGGAATTGTATAGGTACATAAAAAGCTTATAATTGTTGTAGCATATATGTTGCATGCATGCATAATTTCTTAAACCATAAAATATCTGATGAAATCCTTATTTCCGTATTTCAATGGACGTAGTTTGTAGTGTTAATCGTTATAAATCTCTAAATGCATTTATTTGTTTTCAGGTCAAAAGTTTGCTATGATGGAGTTGAAAATTGCGATATCAGAGACAGTGAAGAACTTTTTAATATTGCCATCCGGTATTGAACCAAAGTCTACTGCAGTGTTAATCCTAAAGTCACAGAATGGTGTCCACGTAAAACTAAGGCCAAGAAATTAGAACAAACTGTTATAGTGTATACCCACATTGAATTCGATTTACATGAAAGAAAACGAAAGAATGTGTATGACCCACTCGCCCCTTGGATCTTGACCCTTCAAATAAAATATAGAACTCACCGATTTTATGTGTATCGATTCGACTCTTGATAAGGGGTGGATATATGTATCTTATATATAAAATTCTCGTGTCACAATGTTAGTTACCATACTCCTCCGAAACGGCTGGACCGAATTTTATGAAATATTTTGTGCACATCGGGTAGGTCTGAGAATCGGCCAACATCTATTTTTGATACCCCTAAATAACAAGGGTGGGTTACCCCTATTTTTTTTTTTTATATTTCCTAGAAATAATGTATACAAAACAACATTTAAATATAACAAGTGTTAAATATGACAGCAATTTACTTACATTTAAGAAAGATTTTACAATTTTGCAAAATAATTTTCTTAAATGTACCTTTAAGAAAATTATGCTGTAAAAAATCTTGTTATTTATGACATGGTTCATAACGTTACTATGTCCTGGTATAAATAATTAATATTTGTTATTGGTTACTCATAGTTTACAATAATGACCAAGGTTTATATTTGAGTTAGGGGTACAGGATAAGAATATTTAAAAAAAACTTTTTTTTATGAAATAAATGATTAATTTGTGCGATATAATATTACATTATTTAACATCGAATACTTAAATACTAAAAAGCTTGTAGCCGCTTTTCTTCTCAGGCGGACTACTCACCGGCTGACCCAGTGGAGAGATTGATGAGATAACCTCAGGGCGCCTTTTTAAGAGAACAGATGTGTGTGCGTGTGGGAAACCTACGGGATTGACCAGACCAGACTGCTGCTAATTGTTTGTGATAGAAAAAGGGCGGCTTTTTTATCACGAGAAGTGTCGATCAGTTGCTTAGCTAGTTGTTTATAGATAGCACTAACACTCGGACCCCATGACTCTAGCGTCTCGACTCCAAATTGTTCAAAAAAGTAATCCCCTATAAAGTTTTGGTATTTACGCCGTTTGAGGCTTTCTGCGGATGCAGCAGCAGCGCCGTCATAACTATGCGTATTTCTCTTATTTTACTACATTTTGGGCTTATCTTTTGTGATGGAGCTTAACTAGATTTTTGCTGTATGTGGATGTCGCGATATCTCCCTTATGAAATTTGCGTTTGATACTTTTATTTAACTTTCAATAGTATCGGGGAACAAAACCATAGGACATGGAATTCAGAGTTTAAATACTTTACTGTTCTATCATTAGTTCATGAAATTAATATATTCCCTTCAAGCCACGAAGCTTCTTTGTAGCTAGTGCCACTAGTCATTTACAATGCAGATTGCACCTCGCCAATGTTGATTGTGAAAAATAAGAATAAAAATTGAGTGTAGTCGGTAAACTAGGTCTTGGAGATTGGAATGTACGAGTTAATTTGAAGGACTAGTTCTAAGATATTTTAGATTGGTGATGAAGTGCTTGTTACCTAAGAACGGCGTCATTTAAGAAAGGATTTAGATTTTTTTTTGTAATTTGGGAGGAAATACCATTTAATGGTCCTGTTAAAGGTGAAGAAAAATATACAGCCTGTCACGCGACACCGTCCAACCTTCACTCTGCACAGGGGCATGTAACGAGGGACAAGCGCAGTGGGGGTCTCCTTTAGCTCCGGGCAGACGCGACCCTGATCAAAGTCGCCGGGACTCCACCGTGAGATAAATTGTATCTAACTTGATTTTTATAACCTAATTGTAATAAGAAAAACTTAAGAGAAACTAACGAAATAATGTATTATAAATACTACGTGATTAAAACCCCCTAATACAGACCTAAAACTAGTCGTATTTTTGTCCGACCATGACGGCTAAAATAATTTAAGGCCACATGAAGTATTGTACCCGAAATTAGTACTTCAGTCGGCTTATCCTGTGACGAGCTATATGTGAACACATGAATATATTTCACAAAGAATTACCCGTGATACGAGAAATTTATTTCTCGTAGACGTCTTAACCACCGTACGTAATAAATTTTAGCTGTTTCTTTGGAAATATATGTGACATGTGGATCATATGCCGGGGGCATATTATTTTGGGTATCCATTTCAAGGCTGACTTTAAAAGCATTACTTGTAAACGAGAGTTTTCAAAAATAAAAAGCAGCTATTTCTCAAGATTTCTTATGGTTGTATTTATATATGTAAATACAATTATCAGTCTTAATCAATACAGTTGTATTAGTGCATGAACGAAAAACATAAATTACTATTTATTTGTATTGAAAGACATAAGCTGTCATTTATTATTACATATACTATAAAAAAATAAAACAACAACACGTCCTTATCAACACTTTTACACGTTTTTGGAATACATTTTGGTGTTATTTCATTAATAAATGCCTGAACCCACCTCAAGGGTAAGCCATTGAGGTGGGTTCAACAACAGACATGCTCTTTGGGTGAATTTAAAAAGGATTCGTTCAAATTGAAATCAAAAGTATTTATTCATCATCATCATCAACAGCCTTTACTAGTCCACTGCTGGACATAGGCCTCTCCTTAGAAAGGAGGTTTTGGCCTACTATACCACGCTGGCCAGACGGGTTGGTATTTATTCATAAAGAATTTAATTGATTGATACTTCATTACTATATTTCCTCAGAGTATTAAGAAATTCAAAGAATACACAACGTTTCCTAGAACGCAAACCTTTTCAGGATGAAAACTAATCAATATTTTATTTTACCAAGCCAATAATATAACATACACACATTCGATTGTTAGGACGACAAACCATAAAAAAATCTGTATAATACGTATATACCAAGAGTCGTAAGAAACCTTTCTCAATAATGCAAAAAGGCACATAAAATACATGTAACGTAGTTAAAAGCCCAACGTACAGTTAGTAACTGTGTCACGTACTTTAAAGCTGATGCAGATTTATTTTGGTAAAAGTTTCTCTACTTGTTCAATTTATTTCTAAGTATTTATTTACAAAGACGGAATACTTTCTTTATATAACTGGTGCGACAATATAAATGCGCATTTATATTCTCTTTCTTGGTACATATAATATTCTTCATACCATAACTTCTTCCATGGGAGATTTTTCGTTTCGGCAGAAATGGACCGGCTCAATCGGAGTGATACCGCGGACTTGCAGAAAACCGGCGTTACCAAATACCAACCCAGCCTCCTTTCCCCTATTCCTGTAGCAACGCCTAGAGGGCAGCAACTCAGTTATGTCTCTCGAGTTGCAGTTATCCATAGGTGGTGGTAGTCGCTTACCATTAAGTGACCCACCTTCTCGTTTGTCCAATATAAAATAAAGCGGAGGTAGCCTAGTGGTTAAGGCATTGGACTTGCGATCAAGAGGTCGTGGGTTCGAATCCTGACAATACACTGGCGACGTGAATCCACTCCTAACACAAGCAATTTGGCTTATAGTCGGAATGAATTAGCGGAAAATGGGTCTAAAAATCGTAAAATGGATAACCTCCATTTTATTTTTTTATCCGTTAGTTGACAATGTTACGATTAAAATATTTCACATCAACGCAGATCCGTTCGTGGGAACATTGTTAAAAAAAATGACAAAAACTGTCATAAATCTTATAAATAACAGATATTTTAACATCATGAAACCTAGTAAGTGTACTATACTATATTAAAAAAACTAGATCAAGAACCTAGTAACTTGCCTTTACCACTTTAAAACCTAGCAAGTCACATGCACTTACTAGGTTTTGTTATTGTAAAAAAAGATTACAGCCTAAAATAAGAATTGGACAATTTATACAGCCTTGGCTAAGACAGTGAATAACCCAACAAATGTTACAGAGACGATCACCAGCAACTATCTAACGAGGAGACACACAATCGTCTCTGCAGACGCAGTTCACGCTAACATTGAAAAGATAAAGAAATATTCGATTTCCAGGGTTTTAATGATACGGTGAAGCAATCTAGAATGAATATCAAGGTTTTAAAGTTTAGAATAATTATGAATGGCCAAAGAAAAAGATGGTTAGAAAGACTCGGCTCGTCAATAAGACCACTAGAGACATAACTCAAAGAAGAAATAATTGGAATCTGGAGACAGGAGAAAGTTTACATATTCGTAGTGTCCATAGAAAAAAATACCTATCGTCATCGCGTTAATTGCCAAAAACATGATTATAAGTTCTAAGTATATTAACATAAATGAAAAATTGTTTAGCGAATATATGTCAGACTCACAGTCTTTTCAATGCCTTATGCCAAGTCTTATTTGAAGCTTTATTACTTAAACATGATTGATATCTTCAAGGCTTCTTCTCTTTCTCATTTTTCATAATTAAACTTCTATTATGAACCAAGAAATGTTAAATAGATTTTTGGTTTGAGGGGCCCGAGGCTTTTATACCATCCGACCGTCACATTATCCAAAACTAAAGTCCTATGGTAACCAGGCTGCTGATGGATATTTACATATATATTATTGCGGTTGTCAGTTTCGCTCATGTGATTTTTCTTATTTCGGGTTTTAACTTTGAAAATTATGAACTTACATACAACCGTTTATCCCTTATTTTACTAGTGAAATTTCCAAAAAGCCGGTTTAAGCAGGTGCTTGAAACATAAAAAGCATCAACTGTAAAGATTTCAGGTTAGTAGCCCCAACAGTGTAGTCTCTGCGTTGATGAATCACTCAGCCGATCAGGGCAATTAATTTTGTATGTATAGATTACTGCCAGACATAGAACAAATAATCGTGATTGTCAAACAGCTTTTTGTCCTGGTCGGATGTCCAACTAAACCCAAGACCTGGCCGAGCAGTCAGAATCACTAACCACAAGAGCAACTGCAAACTCAAAGGTTTATATGTAAACCGATCAGACCAGCTCGAGTGGGAAGCGTCTTCACCAAGTAAATCATACATAATGAAATCAATTCAATCAATGAGTGTTATATAATTTTAAGATATAAGAACATAGATAAAATAAGAATTGGT